GGATTATGAAGTCTCCAATGACTGCAATCTCATAAAAATTCAAGGCAAAGAGTTCGAGTGAATACTGGCAATATCCCATTATTTCTCATGATAGATGCCAATCTTATCTGAAAAAATGTAATCCTATTTTTGCAAATAAATCAATATAGATAAAAATGATTATGACGGAGGTAGGGGTGTCAACGAGCCATGCCGCAACTTTTTGCTTGGGCTCAGCTCGAGTAAAAATATTTTGAGCTTTTTTTGGCCTGTTTTGCCAAAAAAATTAGGCTCAACCCTAGCTTTCGGCCCGAACCGGCTCGATTTTTTTTTTAATTCTTCACAAATCTAAATTTTTTTTAAAGAATTTAAAATTTGTGCAATTTATACGTATTATAAATAATAACTAAATATTAACATATANACTAAAATGAAAAGAAAAAAAAAAGAAGTTACAGACAAGTTTTCTTTTTTTTTTTAGGCTCACGGCCGGCCCGTCGAGCCACATGGGCCGGACCGGCTCGGGCTTTTTCCTGGACCGAGCCTTAACCGACGAGCCAATTTGCCATCCCTATATGGATGTCATGGCAACTATCTTATCACATAGCCAAGGAGCATCACAAGGACAATGACAATGCTTATGAAAAAGTTATAATCGTCAAGGGAAATCCAATCCACCAATGTATTTTATACCAAAAAAAAAGATAGTCCGGGTAACCGCCAAAGAACATTAGTCTGTCCCCATCATCCGAACATGCACCGACTCAGGAAAAATCTACTTTAGTCTTATTGGTAATCCATGATCTATTTCCCTCCATGATATCCTTCCATCTACTCAGAAATATCTTACCATTAAAATATTACTTGTAATATAAGAAAAATTACGTTATAGTTAAAAATAAGTAAAAAAAAAGCACTTTTATGTCAAAAAAAAATGTTATAAAATAAAAATACTACTAATAAGATAAAAATTCATTTATAAAATATTAAAAAAATTACTTATAAGTAAAAATCACTTAAAGTTATTTAAAAGTATAAAATTAACTTATAATTGTAAAATTTACTTGTAAGTAAAAAATATTAACTTAAAATTTTAAGTAAATATTTAAATTTAATTAATTTTTTAAATTAAATATTAACTAATATATAAAGAAAATATGAGTAAAAATTTTCATATAAAAGAAAATTTTACAAAGCGAAATACGTAATTTTATTTTTCTAAAAAAACTTAATCTAATCTCATAATAATTTCAATTCACCGCCCTGATGAATGAACAAATATAAAGAGCGATTTATGTGTTTCTTCACGCTTTTAGTTCACTGCCATGCGCTTTCAGAAAGCGTGTTCGTTCATCTCTTTCATCGGCACTCACAGTAGAATCTTCATTTTTACTACTACCGAAAGCAAAATAAAATAAAATCTGAATTCTCTCCATGGCTCCCGTCGCTCCAAGGTCCGGCGACGCTATTTTCGCCAACGTTGAACGCGTGGTAAGTATAATTTCTCAAAATAATCAATCCTAATTTTACTGTTTGATCCTGATCGCTGTACCATGTAATTTGGTGAAATCTTGGTCAATTAGTGTTGTATAATATTCACAGAATGCGGAGCTCTTCACTCTGACTTACGGTGCTATAGTGCGTCAGCTTCTCACCGATCTGGAGGAGGTGGAGGAGGTCAACAAACAGCTCGATCAAATGTGATTGATTCTTTTAATTAATCTTAATTCTTATTGAAAGCAATGATTTTCCTAATTTTGTTGTAAATAAACTTGTTTTTCATGACTATTTGATTACCTGAAGTGGTATTTCTTCCTTGAATTTGGAGTACTTGTGTTTATTGCAGGGGCTATAATATCGGGGTACGGCTAGTGGATGAATTTCTAGCGAAATCGAATGTGTCGAGATGTGTTGATTTTAAGGAAACAGCTGAAGTCATTGCCAAGGTTGTGTACTCCTACCGTTTATTCGGTCTGTTATTATTCATTTTCATAGCGAATAAAGTTAAGGAATTTCAGCTGTTCTGAATTTTAGATTATAGTTTTCATCCAATACAGAATCTAGACCTCAGTATCAGTGACCTGGAGAAGAAGATAAATTGCATTCTGACCCCATCACGTCTTTCAATTCCTTATTTCAAAGGACAAATGGAAAAAAATATATTGCCTTTAATAGGAGGATCGACTAATGACTTGAAAATAGACTAATAAAGAATGCAATATGAGTGTTCTAATCCCAGTCAATTTTTGGTTACTAAAGAGGAAGTTTACATCTTTTCGAAAGAAAGCAGTTTTAGGAAGTAAAGAGGATCTAGATCAATTGATGTTGTAATCATCTGCTATTGCACTGTAAGGTGACTTCTGAATTAATAAATTTTCTGTTATAACTGTTTAAATTCTCTGAGTCATGCCTGGGAGGTTTGTGAGTTATCGTATATGAATTCGAGAGAAGTCTGTAATATCGCTCCAAATTGTGGGATATTGAATCAGCTCACGTAGATTTTGTATATAAGATACACATGGGGAACTATGATCCCATCTTATTTTATGTTAATAAAGCCACGTGATCTAACTGGAAAAAGTGGATAACATTCGCACTTTCAACTGCATATTTTCTCAAATAATCCATGAGAACTGATAATCTCGAAAAATGTGTTTCCACGCCCTGGAGCTTACTTATAAGCACATTTTTAATGAATCCCTAAACGTCCTACCTATTGTCATCAATTGACTATGTCAATGTAGCATTCATCTCCTTACTAGATCATCTCATTATTTTTACAATTCTAAAGTTGAACTGCGACAAGTATCATTTTGGTCTATTTTGCCCATATTCTGTGCTAAAATTCTCTTCGTATGGCCTGGGACTGGTATCATCGTGCAATGGAATGCCTGTTTCAGACATAATGTGTATGCTAGGTTGAAAAATGTTGAATATTCCTTTGGTCCTTCCAGTAGTTTTTTCAGTATGAAATTGTTGGGACAAAAAAGAGCTGGCATATTGAAATATTGTGTTGTTGCATACATGCTGTCAGAGTAAGTTGATTATGCATTCACTGGCTCTCTCCATTTGGCATCCCACGATATTAGACCACCATGTTCGGCAGCATAGTTTCATCTCTTATTAAGATATAAAATCATTTGAAATGGTGTCTTCTGTACCTTTTTAGTATCTATTTTGAAATGTTTGGTTTATTAAGTACATTATTAAAATGTCATATGAACAGGTTGGATTCAAAATGTTCCTGGGAGTTACTGCATCAGTCTCCAACTGGGATGCTGAGGGAACAACATGCAGTATAATTTTGGAGGATAATCCTCTTGTAGATTTTGTTGAGCTTCCTGATACCTGTCAAGGTCTATATTATTGCAACATTTTAAGTGGAGTTATCAGAGGAGCTCTTGAGATGGTGAGCTGCCCTCCTCTATGAACATCTTATCCTTACCATATAACGATGTTGTTTTTTGAGTGGGCATCTTCATAAATTTGTTTCTCTTTATATGATTGAGAATCTATTTTGATTCTAACAACTGATTGCTGAGTTGATGATACGGACCTTTCAATTCATAGATATAGATCTCGGACCTATGATATATTCCTGAAACTCACACAGAAGAAAGGAAGTGAGTTAGACAAAAAGATAAGCAACTTGGACAGAAAAATGATGGTTTTGGAGTGGGCATCTGCTACATGCATCTTCATAAATTTGTTTATTTCATTATATGATTGAGAATTTGTTTTGTTATTGTGAAATTTGCCATTGAATATGTTGGTTGTTGAACCTTCTCCCCTATTAAAACTATTTATTATGACAAAAACTTTATTAGGGAGAGAGAGCTGGGAGAGGAAAGGAAGAGGGTGGGGGGTGGAGGATCAGGTATCTAGGGGGGAAATGACGGAAACGTCCCTCTTGTTTCGGCCAATAGAAGACAATGTAATCCATCTGCTCAACGATGTTTGAGGTTAATCTTTGTCTGCCTAGCATTTTCTTATCGATATAATTTGTTATTGTCGTTAATTTGATTGAGACGAATAACTCACCACGTTTAGAATAACGCCTGGGATAGCACAGTTGTTACCTTACTTGGAGGTGATATGCAGTTCTTCTTTCTTCCTTTAGGTGTCAATGAAAACTGAAGTCACGTGGCTGCGAGATATGCTTAGAGGGGATGATGCATTTGAGTTGCAGGTGAAACTTCTGAAGCAAGTTCCTGAGGAGTATCCATACAAGGACGACGAGTAACGTGCTTCCTTTTCCTCTGGAGATTCAATCCTCTATTTTTGTAATTTTACCCCTCTAGACCTACGCAACTTTCAATGCAAAGAAGCCCTTTGCCAGAAGTTTGGGTAAAATTACTTGAAAATTTCTTTCATGCTAATTTCAAATGTAGACATTTGGTGGTGTTATTTGTAGGTTCGTTGTCTAGGTTGCTTGACGAGTAGATAAAATTATAGTGACAGTACTTGTTTATGATGATCCCAGCACCATCACTCTACCACCGATCTATCTTTTTTTATTCATACTAGTATAAAACGTGTGTGTTATACCTTATTTATAATCATATTTATGTAGCACATACTTACATAGATGACGCTAGTATAGTGAAATCAAATTTTTCGGTCCATTCAATTCAAATAAGGAAATCAACCGGTAAGTAGCATGGGTTCGAGCCTACATTAGAGAGTTAAAATTGAAATGAAAAAAAAAACTGGCATTGCAAATGTTATTTATTATTTTTTTTTTCTTTGTATACTTTTCGAAGTAAATTGCAATAATTTTTTGTTCCAGCAGTTACCAGGTCGAAAATTTACAATGAAGAAAACGGACCAATTGAAATAAAAAGAAAATGACCGTAAGTCTCGGGATTCTTTTGCTATTAAAAAAGAAGACGACTTTTCAGGCAACTCGATCCAGTGGTTGACTTGAAGTCTTGAACTAATATTCCACTTCCACTGATTGATACTTCGCAAAGCCATATTTCTTCGCTATATATCGCTCCACCGCGAGTAGATTTTCCGGCATGGCGGAGAGCGGCAGCGGTGGGTGTGTCAACTGCTGTTGCAGCTTCATATTCACCTTAGGTTTGACAGCTCTCTTCTTGTGGCTAAGTCTACGTACCTCAAAACCCACTTGCTCCGTACAGAAATTTTTGGTTCCTTCACTCAACAAAACCGACAACTCCACCACCACCAGGAACAACCACACCATTTTCTTTGACATCAAGCTAGATAATAGGATGAAAGACAAAGGCGTGGACTATGATACCATAAATTTAACTTTTTTCTATGGTCAAAATTATAGCTTTCCTATAGCCAACTACACAGTGCCAGGGTTCTACCAGGGTCACGATAAGCATACTAGCCGGAAAGCGGTGGTGGAGACTAATGGAGTGCCGTGGGAGGCGGCGTTTGAGGCTGTTTCAAATGTGTCCACGGTGGCTTTTAGAGTGAGATTGGCTACTAGAGTGAAGTTCAAGATCTTGGTCTTTTATACCAAGAGACACAATCTGATTGTGAAGGGGGATATACAGGTTAACGACTCCGGAGAGAAAATGAATAAAAAAGGTATCAAACTCAAGTCGAACGCACCACATCAGTTGAGCCATAGGCTGAGACTGGAATTTTTGGTGGTTATTTTAACTGTCTTGATGATCTTTTTGCTGTAATTCTTTGTTTAGTTCATTTTCTAGAATCAGCTTTGATTTGAGGATCTTATATTTATATGAAAAGGCTTAAAAGTTGTGTGTTTGGTTGAGATAATTACATATGAATCCTCTCATGTTTGCTGCTTTCGTCCTTGTTGAAACCCAGGAATTAGTCTACAGTAGAATAGATGACATCTTACATGCTTGAAGGCAAAATTTACATAGTAAGCCAGCTTAAGGAAATCTTCATACGATTTTGATTTCCTCTATCTTACAAAAGTTCAGGTAGCATAGAGCACATGCAGTGTGTATCTGAGAAATCGACTAGTTTAGATCCAACTGCTTCGTTTTACCGTTAAAGAGAGCTGCCACCTTGCAGCTTAACAAGCGAATAATAGGCACCACCATCTCCCATTGAGAGTAGATCAGAGTGTGAACCTTGTTCAACAACTTTTCCGTCTTTGATCACTGCAATGGAATTAGATTTCTGTATTGTAGACAATCGATGAGCCACAACAATGCAAGTTCGACCACCCATCATCTTCTCTAGTGCTTCTTGAACCATTCTTTCTGACACACTATCAAGAGCACTAGTTGCTTCATCCAGCAGCAGGATTGTAGGGTCCTTCAATATTGCACGAGCCAGAGCTATTCTTTGTTTCTGGCCTCCAGATAGCTGAGCTCCTCTCTCTCCACAGTAGGTCTCATATCCATCTGTCATCCCACTGTCATCAAGAAAATGAATTAAAAGTTATTAAGTATTGGTTTAGATTCTCTCTCTCTCTCCCCCTCTCTCCCCCCGTGTTTTTTCTAGTTTCATAATATATTTTCGTTCGAAAAAAGTGTTATAGATACCATACCTTATAAATTCATGGGCATTAGCAAGTATTGCAGCCTTATGTATTTCAGATTCTGTCGCATTCTGTTTCCCATAGGCAATATTCTCATTTATGGTTCCTGCAAATAGCGTTGGCTCCTGACTGACTAACGCAATGTGTGACCTCAAGGTTCTCAAATTATACTCCTTTATGTCCTTATCATCAATAAACACTGATCCCTTAATTGGATCGTAAAATCTTTCAGTGAGTCCAATAATTGTCGATTTCCCTGAACCACTCTGGCCAACTAATGCAACAGTGGTTCCTGATCTGATTTTAAGATTGAGGCCCTTTAAGATCATCTGGTCAGGTCTTGATGGATAAGAAAAGAACACATTCCTTAGCTCAACACGGCCCCTAATACCATTCTTCATTGCATCAATTTGCCACGAGTTCTCTGGATCAATCTCACTCTTTCTGTCGAGGATTGCAAAAACTGAACGAACAGCATTAGTTCCTCTCGACAAATCTTTTGTCATGCTTCCTGCCTCAGCAATGGTATATGCCGTGAATAGAAGTGCTAGAAATGCTTGGAAAAGTCGCTCGGGAGTTATTAACCCTTGTGTCAATAACTTCCCTCCATACCAGTAAGCTAATGCTGTAGAAGCTGCTGCAAGAAATTGTGAGCTAAATAAGCCAACACCTGCAAACCAGGATTGTCTGATACTCTCCTTCCTTGGGCTTTCCAGTGTGGCTCTAAAGAGCCCCACTATCCTCTTCTGAGATGAAAATGCAGTTATAGTTCGATGGTTGATGACAGCTTCACTTGCTAGTTGGCTTCCTTCCTTTTGTGCAATTTCAGCTTTTGCAGACATACTCTTCATAAGAATACTCCTTGAATAAAAGCTTCCGATGAGTAAGGGCTGAGCCGCCATCATCACAAGGGCTAGCCGCCATGTCAAAATGAGTCCTAGTGTGTAGGCAAAGATAGCTCCAAAAAATGCTTGAGTCAACAGGGACAAGCGATCTCCAACAAGTGAGCGAACCATGTTGGCTTCTGTTGATATTCGTGCACATATTGCTGCACTTGTGTTTTCACTTTCATCAAACCATCCAATCTCAAAAGTCATGAGTTTTCCCAGCAGCATCTCCCTTAGTCTTTTAGTTAACTTTTCTCCCATGATAGCAAAATTGTAGTGCTGCAGAAGGTTGGTGAAGAAGTTGAAAACTCCAAGGCCTACAAATACGAGAGAATACCCTCTTGCATGAGATGTAATGGAGTGTTTATCTGTCCTGAAGTAAACAGCTATAAGTGCTCCCACGCAATAGGCATTAACTGGTTGAACAGCTCCTGAGCCTATGGCTCCTAAGCACCCGAGCAAAGCTCTTCCCCATTCAGGTGTGTTCATGCTCAGTAAACGCCACTGTGATGGAGTAGGATTAGCTGGTCCATTGAAATCTTCATCATCACTGTCGTATGTGCCCTCGTATTGAATTGAGTATGGAGCAGAGAAGGAGTAGGGTGTACTCCTTGAAAATGCTGGGCTAAATGGGTTCAAAGCTGGAGTGTTTTGTGCACTTGACCTGGCACTCAATGGGCTTGGAGGGATAATCATCTTGTGATTTTTTTCTTCAATCTGATGGTTGGAATTACTTTTAGTATCATTTTCAGTTGCTGATTGTTGCAACTGAACCATTTTGAAGTACTCTCCATCTTTCAGTCGCATAAGCTCATCATGTGAACCTAATTCAACAACTCTTCCCGACTGGAGAACCACAATCAAGTTACTCATCTTGATTGTAGAGAGACGGTGAGCCACAACTATGGTTGTCCTTCCCTTAGATGCCTGGTCTATAGCCTTCTGTACAATTCTTTCAGATTCTGTATCCAGTGCACTCGTGGCTTCATCAAGAAGCAAGATTTTCGGATCCCTTATCAAAGCCCTTGCTATTGCTATGCGTTGTTTTTGTCCTCCTGATAACTGAACTCCAAATTGACCAACCTGGAGATTACCATATCCAATGGAAAATTATCAGAGATGCTTAAAATTGGAAAACAGCATGTAACATTTCGAACCAAATGACAAGGGAAAAGAATTCTTAAGCAAGGCATTGGATTATTTACTGATTTCAGAATTCCTAACAAAAACAAAAACAGATTTCTTGTATTTGGGGATAGAAACAGTCTTACTTGAGTTTCATATCCATCTGGTAGCTTGATAATGAAATCATGTGCATTTGCAGCCTTGGCTGCTTTCTCTACATCCTCTGTAGATGCTTCCTCCTTCCCAAATAATATATTTTCTTTTATAGATGTTGCAAAGAGGATTGGTTCTTGATTAACCAATCCCATTTGGGACCTGAGCCATTTGAGATGAAGCCTCTTTATTTTGTATCCATCCAAGAAAATTTCTCCTTCTATAGGGTCATAAAATCTTTGCAACAGTGAAATGATGGTGGACTTTCCAGAGCCACTACCCCCAACAAGACCGACAGTTTTCCCGGCTGGAACTGTAAGATCCAAGCCTTGCAATATGGGCGTATCTGGTCTTGACGGGTAAGTAAAATAGACACCTTTGAATTCAATTTCTCCTCTCACATATGATAGAGCTTTTCCCTTCTTATCATCAGAATCAATGGCTGGTTCGCGATCAATCATCTCTGTAATGCGAACAGCAGCCGCCTTAGATTCCGCAATTGCAGTGAGATTTGGAAGGGCAGTCAAAATATTTCTGCAAAAAAGGAAAAAACAGTAAGTTTCCAAGTTTGATGTGAACAATCAAGCCAGCAGATTATTAAAAATCTAACGATTAATAAACTTACAATCCTCCCATGAGAACGTTGAATCCGGCTACAAAAATGTCTCCACCCTTTTCTCCTTTTCTGCTGACCAAAAGAGATCCAACCCAAGCTTGAAATCCCCAGCTAATATAAATAACTCCCATGCTCCCCATCATCAAGCCTCTTGCAAAACCTTGCTTTATTCCTAAATCCATAGTTTTTTGCAGTGCATGACTGAACTTCTCGAGGGTTTCATTCTCAGCAACATAGGAATATATAGTCCGGATCGAGGAAATTGCTTGTTCTGCAATTCCACCTGCGACTGCATAAGACTCTATCGTCTTCATCGCCACATTCATCATCATCGTTCCAAATCCAAGTCCAGGGACAATGAACATTATGGTGAATGGTATAGCAGCCAAAGTAAGCCTCCATGATAGTGAGAATGCAAATACGAGGCAGAAGATGAAGGATGACATATAGGCTAGGCAGTCAGGTATCTACACGCAAAAATCATAATATTTCAAGTTTTGGGTCAACTAAAATGACAAAGTGTAGGCTAGGCAGTCAGGTATCTACACGCAAAAATCATAATATTTCAAGTTTTGAGTCAACTAAAATGACAAAGTGTAGGAAATAGAATAGTTTTCACTACTCTTAATGCATGTTCGGTAAACAGTAGATACAATATCATAAGCAAGGTATTGAATTATTTTTCTTCTTTAATACTGTTGGTACTATTTAATCCTTCATACTGAGCATTTTATTTTAGTTTCTGAGCAAGAAGATCCTTTAATTTTCTGAAATATTAGCGATCAGTTATGTGATTATACTCAGATGGCTAGCAACACTGAATTTTCTGTGTCTGGCATTCTTTATCATCCATTTCCCATCTAAGCACTGATTTTGATAAGAGAAATTAGGTGCTGTTGGCGTAAGTACCTTCTCCCCTATGGTGATTTGGATCGTATTGGAATCCGCAGAAATTGTCGTAACAACTTGATAAGTTTTTGAAGAATCAGCTGCCTGCGTGTCAAAGAAACCAACTTCTTGTTTAAGGACAGATTTCAGGTACTCTAATCTCATCCTAGAAGTCTGTCTCTCTGCCGTTCTTGCCCAACATAATCCTTCTGTAAAAATGCATGCACGGAAACATAAGAAAAGCATCTTAGAAACATGTTAATATAAACATAATCTGTCAACTTTTCGTAAGATTTGATGCTCTAGAGATTGACCAATTGAGTTCTAAGCACTGCAACATACCGATGAAAGCAGATAGTCCCACTCCAATGGCAACATAGAGTAGCTTCAGTGTGTACTGGATAGAAATTTAGTATCATGTCAGTCTAGTGCGCAACAAATTCCTCGTATTAATGAAATTATGCATTAGTTTCATTCTGTTACCTTGTCTACAGTATGATTAGAGACTGGACTGTTAAGGTCTCCATACTTATTGATGACAGCACTGAGAACAAACATCATAAGAGGTATTTGCAGTCCATCTCCAATGCTGCCTAAAGTCCCAAAGAACATCAAAAGCTTGTCGACCGTATCTGCATAGCGAAAAATCCCGTTTTTCTTCCCCATTTTCTTTGCCCCCTGAAGAGGGAGGGATCAACAAACTTTTGAAGATAGAATTTCTTTAACTACTTTCAAGTACAAGGATCTAAGTTTATGTTACTTTTTATATAGAAGTTGATCAATTCCATTGGCTTATTTTGCAGGCTGTTACTCGTTTTATAATTGTGAAAAGGATCCAATGTTTTCCTATATTTAAGCCGGCTGACTGTTATTATTAGTTGTTTTTGCTTTGTATGATGATTCCAAGTGTTTTTGTTGTTTGTCTATCTATTTATATTACTTTCCCTGAAAACAAGAAGTGCTTTCTGTATTGTGAAAGCTCTATATTCCATGATTCGTCCAGCCATATTGATTTGGTATGCAAATGAGTTGCTTGGCGAACTAATCGACCGTGTTATGCTTTTACAAAACCAATTCCAAAAGTGAAAAAGTTAACGTTTCTTGATTGCAAATATATAGAGTAGAGGTCCAGGGGCGGACTCAGAAAAGAAGTTCAGTGGGGACAAAACCAAAAAACCTTGAAAAACTGAACAAAAAAAAAAACTAAAAAAAATCTGAAGAAAAATCAGGAAATCTGAAAATTAAGTGGTGGCGGCGGCCCCCACTAGGCCTTATGTAGGTCCGCCCCTGGTAGAGGTGGCATCTATTAAGCGAGCATTCAGTTAAAGTCGGTATTAACCTTGTCTTTGTTTACTTATTTGGGGCTACTTAATTGAGGTAGAATAAAATGAGAGTTCTCAAGAATAATCTAAAGAAACTCGTGTCAAGAGGAGTAGTACGACACAAGTAGAACATGTTAGAAGAGAGAAATATGGGTTAAACCTAACATGCGCCGTTGAAATTGCTAAGGATCTAGTTGTTTTTATTTTTCGACAAATAACCGAATAGAATGGAGAAAAATGATTGTGGTGCAACATTTGCATTCTAAATTCACCAACTTCATTCCCTCACAAACGATACCATCCTTTAATTAATTATGAGCATGTTTGACTAAGCTTAACAAAATTAAAAAGCAAAGTCCGAAATATAAAATGACAATTAGGGATTAATTAAAAATAAAATTTCATTCAAATGTTGAAGGGTTCATCTTTCCCCATCCATTTTTTCATTGTCTTAAGGTGGGACCCTATAACTTTTCGTCATTTTCTTTGCTTGTAAAACATGTAAGGCCATTTATTAAAGGTTGAACTCCAACCTTGAGGGCCCCCCACCGTCCCTAGAGCATTATGGAAGAGGTAAATCGCGGGATGTGCCTCAGCAGGTCATGGTACAAGAGCTATTATACTAGTACCCACAAAAAGTCCAATTCCATACCTTGTAAGAGGCAGGAATCTAACCCTCACACTGCGCTGTTAACTCAGTTGAGACTATCTCATTCTTGTCCTTTGCACCATTGAACTATGCCTGGGAGGGCATGTGAGGCCATTTATTGTCTCTATTTCAAGAAGTGATGGACTCATTCCAGCCGAATGTAATATTCCAATTTGTTTTATTTTGTGTTATCTTATTAGGACAGTGTTTAGTTTAATAATCTTAATAGTTTCTATGGAGACATTCTATGCTTGGTCTCGTTAGAGGCCAGATTGGAGTTGGTTGGCTTAATGTCTTGTTAGACACAAATGGACGTGTAAATCGGGGCGTGCTTGACTTTATTCGTATCTTGTACTAAACAACCTAATTCTTCGAGCCCTTGGATTTAGCGTTTAACTATGTAGGTTTTGGTTGGAGTAAGTATAAATTAAAATGAGTCGTTCTTTTTATTTACAATGTTCGTAATGGCACAAAATTGATGTCACCAAGAACACCAATCAAAATGTAATCGAATCAATTTTGATGTATTAGCATTCCTCCATTGTCTTTCCCTTAGTGTTGTTTGAGTAAGTATAAGTTAAAATGAGACGTTCTTTTTATTTGCAATGTTCATAATGGCACAAGATTGATATCGCCAAGAACACCAATCAAAATGTAAATTGAATCAATTTTGATGGATTAACATTCCTCCTTCGTCTTTCCTTTCGTGTTTTAAGATAAAGTTCTTCTTTTGTCACCTTTTGTGGATCGGATCTTTTATATTTTCAGAATTTTTGTAGTGAATATTTTTCGTCGCCGATCCATTGAGAAGATGAAAAAATAAATTTAACAAAACCCTATTGCATACTCATTATGAGTCAACCATATAAAGCATTCTACGTTTAATTTTAACCATTAAATCTTCGTTTTTATTTCATAAGGCAATTGCAAGGGATCCCTGTTCGAATAATGCTTCCACACAGAGAGGATGAATAAGAAACAAATAACAAGAAAATCGGAATAAAAGATGAAAGCTTAAACACGTAATCATTGTTCTCGAGCGATATTTGCCTCCTCTCGGATTGAATTTGATATTTAAAGGGACTTTTGACAAATGTTTATCGTGCCTTGAAAATGAATAAACACTTAAAACACTAGTAAAATTCTTACAAAACTTAAGAACACAAAACAGAATTTTGAATATGAAAGAAAAGATGTTTTGATCTTTCTTGTGGAATGGAATTTGACCTCAAGTAGTTTTTAATGCCTTTTGTTTTGATCATTAAATATATATATATATTTATAGATCTTAACCAATACTACACGAAATTGTGCCAAAATATGGTGAAAAGAGACAAATTTCCATCCAAAAGGATACCAGATTTCAAGTTGAAAAACCAGCTAATGGTTAGTTTTTAACCCTATGCGTACACATTGTAGAATCATTTTTGTTTCTGTTTCTGTAGGCTCAAATCATGTGTACGCATGGTATTCAAATTTCTCAATTTTATTCCACATTCTATTTTATTGATTTTGAACAATAATTTCAACAATTCCCGTTTGAATTCACAAGCAATATCATTACTTAGGCCATGTTTGATTGCCTTTCTTTTCCCTAAAACTAGGAAAATATTTTCATTTTCAATGTAAAATAGGTGTTTGATAGTAAAAATTTTGCCAAGAAAACATTTTGCCCCCCACCCACCCGGGAAAGCATTTTCCATGTTCTGGGAATTTTTTTTTTTTTTTTTNGCAAAAAATTTTTTTTTTTTAACTTTTTGACAATTTTAACAAATTTCATAACCAATTGTAAAAAAAAAATTATTTTAATAGATAATTTCCATATAAAATAAAGCCAAACGTGAACAAAAAAATCCAAAATTTCAAAAAAATTTCGGGTGGAAAATTATACCAATCAAACACACTTGAAATCATTTTCCCTGTAAAACATTTTCTTTCCATCCATTTTCCACCCTTCCAATCAAACGCACCCTTATTGTGAAAGTTACAAAGTCGTTATATAGAATGGGGATTGCGTACGCACCAAAAAATTTTGAAAAAGGAAGGGGAGGGAGGGAGGGAGAGAGAGAGAGTTTATTTGATAAGGCAATTGGCAGCAACAATCATATAAAGACAATACAAGTGGACTGTATAGCGCAGAGAGAAATTTGTGTCCAGCCTTTGCAAAATGTTACTAATCTATCATCTATTTTTTTAGCATAGAACATCTTTCATCCATTTGGCCTTTTCTGGAAAAGAAGATAAGATCGGCCTATTCTACAAAAACTCATATAGTATTTACATAAAAACATTCTTATCATTATAAAATTATATATTATAAACTTGCTAATAGCTCATATATTATTTAAATTAAAAAAAAAAAAGAAATGTATTTAGTTGGAGAGAAGAAGGAAAAATTGATATCAAATTATCAATGATAGGAAAACTTTTTTTTTTTTTTCGAGAGAGAGATATTAAATCTATCATTTATAATATATTAAATATCACATCAAGTGAGAATTATTTTTTAACGATTTTAGTCTTACTATAATTCAATTATTTAAATATCTTATTTTTTGTTTTTTTTAATATGTATTAAACATTCAATTATGCATTTCACTATTAACGTGCGATTCTAGCTCTTTCAATTATTTTAATAGTGTCTTACTTTTCATTCTTCAAAATGGATTATTTAACATTCAATTATGTATTTCACTATTTACGTGCATGCATAATAATTAACATTTATTTTCAGGAACTTACATTTCTCTCGTATTTAGATCAAAATTATGCAAATTAATTCTTCAAATTCATGTACACTTTATATGTTTTGTGGGCTATTCACTTACTCTATGGGTAAATAAATTATTTAAATTCATGTACACTTATTTATTTTTAAGATTATCCGTGTATATAAAGTATTGTTTTTCTATATTCATTAATTCAGAAATTCCATATACATGAATGTATTTGATGTTTTCATGAGTGTTCGACGTAAATGAATTAATCTCTCAACTATTTAAATTGGTTGTTATTTTCAATCGTCAAATATTATGCTCTCCCGCATCATGTCATCAAAGGTTTTGTTATCAGAGTATGAAAATGAATTATCCATCAAAGTGATGGTAGTTCGAAAGGCTTTGGTCGAATCTTATTCCAACAACGTTGAAAATTTTGATATTTTGAGGCTAATTCTAATTGACAATGAGGTAATATGTCTGCTACAATGACTATTTATTTTATAATTAAATTATCTTATTATCCATAAAACGTCCTTAATCTTAATCTAAATATTCAATTATTAATATAATTTTTTTCTCTATTCATATTCTTCAAATTTGAGGTAAAATAATTCGTGAAATTTTTTCTATGTGAATGCATGCGGACACCAAATCTCGATAAATACTCTGTTATATGCCTTGAGGCTTGAGGTATACGCCTCAGCAAGCCATGGCTTTATCCTTGACAAATGACATTGAAAATGTAAGGTTTGAAGTGCATAATTAAAGCTCCCACATTATGAAATTAAAGGTTATAAGAGATTTATCGACGAAAATGAATGGTCATTAAAGTGACGATAGTTCAAAAGGGTTTTAATCGAATCTTACTCCAACAATCCTAGAAAACTTGATATTTTGACGATCATCCTAATCGAAAATGAAATAATATTACTATTTATTTTGTAATTACATTATCCTATTATCTATAAAACGTCCTTAATCTTAATCTAAATATTCAATTATTAGCCTCCGTTTATTTCTCATTTTTCATCCATAAAAATGAAAAATAGGACTATTATCCATCACATCAAGTCATCAATTTTGAATTTCTATCTCTTGTGTGGGGCTCAATAACAACTATATTTTTCATTTTCATTATACAATAATAAGAATCAAACGGACCCTTAATATAAGTTTTTTTCTCTGTTCATCGTCTTCAAACTTGAGGTAAAACAAATCATGATTTTTTTTCTATGTGAATGCACGACGACATAAAATCTCAACTAAATGCCCAAAGTCATATGCCTTGAGGCATACACCTCAGTAAGTCATGGCTTTAACCTTGACAAATGTAAGGTTTGGGGTGCTTAATGAAAGCATTTACATGAGATGGGTCTTAAGGCGTAAGCATATAATGCTTTGTCAAACAATGGATAGTTCTTATTTTCTCATTTTTGTGTTTTATCCCCTGATCATCGTAAATATTAATAATCAGTAGCAGTCATTCATGATGCACAAATGTAAACATGCAATAAAACAAGTACTTTCCACTAAAATATAGAACTAAAGTGTGTGTTGCTCATGGTTTCAATTATTAATTTAATTTTTTTCTCCGTTCATCTTCAAACTTGAGGTAAACATTTTATGAATTTTTTTCTTGTTCGTCTCTATTTTGCAATGACAATCAAAAACGCTCAAGGACAGACAATACCTCTTGTCCAAATATATTTTCCACGTGTATTTTTGTTAAGCCAGATATCCCCAATCACACAAAAAATATAGTGTACAAAGAGATTCTCATTGAATAAAAAGTTCATTTCACGTAAATAATTTTTTTTAACTATTTTTATATTCATGCATCTTCAAATATTACTTTTACAGCACTTGTAAGGTAATTCAAAAATATGGAACGCACGTTCACCTGTAACTAGTAACCACAAACATGCACATGCCGCTCACTACAAAGCCAAAGAGTAAAGTATTGATAAAACGACAACATTATTCAAATCAATTATCAAAATTGAAGCTCACAAAGCACAATCCTTGCTCAATACAGGAGATCATTTTCAATACTACAACGTCGAATGATATATGCCTCATATAATCGAAGTTTTGACAATTTTGAATCAACGACAAAGATTGAAGATAAGAATGCACAATCCTTGTTTAGTCCAGGAGACCATTCCCGACCCTACAAAATGACATCATATACGCTCCATATGATCTGAGTTTTGACAATTTTGAATAAACGATCAAGATTGAATCTTAGCTAAAAATTTGATGTGTTCTAATTTTAACACAAAATTCCCCAATCGGAGCTATTACAAACATTTTACATAGCAGCAAATTCGTGCACTCTCGTATATTATGTAAACTATATACATGAAATAATTGCAAAACTATACTCTTGGAACCCATTTGGTTTCCGTCTTCTGATGTTGAGTGAAAAATATAATCTAAAATTGATTACGCAACTGATTGAGTAAATTCTGCATGCTCTCGAGTTTCTCACTCAGTTGTTTAACTTTATTAATTTTTTCAGAAGAGGATTGTGAACTGCCCAATTCAGTTGTGAGAGAGAGACAATTTGCTTTTGAATCCAAAAGTACCTCCTCTAGAGAAGCCACTGTCGATTCCAAACGTGAATTCCTACTTACTCCGGTCAAGTTGGCCGATGGACTAAGCCCCACACTGCTGGCGCTACTGCCCCTGCTTAACTTCTCTGGAGTGAAAATCTTGTCAAAGCTTTCGGTTCCTGTAAATGCAGAAACATGCATAGGGGATCTTTTAAGCATTCATTTCAAATATTTTTTAAGTGCCATTAAGAGATATTTTAGTTGCAACACATGACACCTCTCTAACCGTTTAAGCTTTTAAATAAGGTGGTTAACTTGGGAAATGAGACACTCACCTAAATTACTTAGCTGATTGATTGCTGCTGAGCCGATGGATCCTTCTAATTTGAGAATCCGCAGGACACCAGCAGCTATTCTACCCATAGAATCCACCTCAGACTTGCAGAGTACAGCGAGATATTGCAGCTCATCCTTTGTAACAATGGCCTCAATCTATTAAACAAAGTAATTTTAGTGCCTTGCTTGAATTATAACTAAACTAAACTGGGAACAATGAAATAAATCAACAAGTTAAAATCTCTTTACCGGCTGATCAACAGAAAATTTCAAATTTTCCACTGCCCACTTTGCCATTGCATCGTCAACGTCATCATCTTCTTCACAAGTCACTATGTCAACTCCCACGTTTACGCCACCGTATTTGTCAAAAGTACGTTTTTCTTTTTCAGGCAAACCATTCTGCAAAGTACCCTCTTCAAAAATACCATCATGCAGGATCTCCTTCCGAGCCATAGGTTTTAAGATCTGCAAACCTTCCATGCCAACCTGCAAGCATTTGAACAGATAAAGCATGTACTGGAAAATTTTGAATTAGGAGCAGAATACCAGCGGGAACCCACAAAACCAAAGGCCAGAGAAATATAGCCAAAACTCAATTACATACCCACGTGAATACCCATACTGATCAGACCAAATTCATCTCCAATCAAAAAAAAAAATTCTCTAGTTTTTTCCCTTTCTTGGGACCAAATTAATCAACACTTTCTAATTCAATAGAGTTAAAAGATGAGATGGAAACTGAAACAAAGAGAGGAAGCATGCTAAGCCACCTATTAGACGAACAATTTCAATACCACTAGGAAACATCCATGACCAATTGGTGGGTTAAGCAAGTTTTCAGTCATTAAAATTGGTTGAAAGACCCATCATCATATCATATCCTACATGTCAATCTTAGGCACAATTATCGTTATGGATATCTCTAAGAGAAAGAATTAAACAAAATCTTACAGTAACCAACTCGACGGGATACTTCTGTTTTCCACGTGGTTTTGCTTTTCCATCCATAACAAGCTTCGGGCTGCTTTTAGCTTTGATGTGCATACTCTGAAATGTTGTGTGCCAGCTCCTGTTTTCTCTGGAAGAATCTTCAGAATCATGAAAGTGCCACCTATCTTCCATCTCCTGAGCACCTTCAAGAGCAAATAGCCAATCCTTCAATTCTATTGACACGTCCACATCATCAGGTGCGCCCAAGTGCAAGAGGCTGCTGTCCTTTCCATCTTCTGAACTTCCATCTAGGGAGACAGAACAGGAAACCAGGAAGAAAGTGAAAAGACAGATAACAAGATATAAACAGTGTGAATCGCACAAAAGATCAAGCACACAGGAAGAATAGCATTTTAATTGAATATTATTTTTCGTACTCTCTCTGTGCCCATCAATAATCAGAGGTGATGGCTTGAAAAGCTTTGCTAAAGGTCCTCCAGATAAATGCTCTAACCCTTTAGTAAGACCCTCCCCTGGACCACCATCTGGCCCAAGAATCCCAAACCTATGAAGCAAAGCTTCAGTATAATTCATTCCTCCACCAAGACGAACACCAGCAACACAAGCTGACACATTTAAACTGTGACACTCAATATCTTGTGCACTATATGGAATCACATGCACCGTGGCTATGTCCAAAAAGGGTACCAGGGAAGAATCACCGTTGGATTTAGAGATTCTTCTATTTTGCACCCAAAAGACAGCCCTTAACTGAGGACATCCATTTCCGTTTAGATGACTATTTCTAGAAGGCGTTAAGTAGGAGTCGTTCTCATTTCCAAGGTTATTCCTAGTGTCTGCACAATCCACCTCAACACTATCCCATTGTAGACTGGATGAAACTGCCATGGCACCTCCCAGACTTCTATGCGTGACTTTGATAAATAAATCTTCACCTGTAAAGCGCACTAGAGGCATTTCCTGAATGCCAAGAGAAGAAGACTCCATAAACCTTAGTAGAAGATCCTTCACAGCTAGACTGACAGCAGTATCACCAGGAACCTTATCCACAAGAGGTCCACTCGCAGACTCGTTTCTTGCTTCCTTTAAGTGGTTGTTTTTCCCTACTTTGGCTATCTTTTCGCTGACTCTACCAAAATAAGCATAGAGATCTAAAATAAAGAATAATTGCTCAAGTGATGTGCTTGACAAGTATTGTTGACAAGCAATCCCTACTCTAACAAGCCCTCCTGGAGGTGGGACATTTGTTAAAGGACTTCCATCTGCAGTCACCATTGCTACCTCAAGACACAAGTCTTTCATCTCAACACATCTCCATAAACCTGAAGATTCCATGAGAGAACTTCCCCCACCAGTTGAGTCATTGCAGGTCTCCAACGACAAACTAATGAGAGAAGCTGCAGCAGACAATTTTTTCTGGCTAGCGTCAATGGGTTGGCCTTTCCAAAGACAGAAGCATGCAGCATCTTTATCAAGGTTTAGCACCCTCAATTTTAGTGATGGCGACTCAGAGAACATGAGATCTTCAATATGAAGCCTTGCCCCAGCAAAGGAACTTTGAAAAGGCATGTTGCAACTTCTAGCAGTATGGCATGGTTTTCCTATTACCAGAGGGACTGTAACATCTAAACCTTTAAGATTGAACAAGAAGGAATTAATTGAAAAATCTGGCAAAACAGCACCAGGTTTGACAACTATTCCATCAGCCAAGAAGGATGATATCCTCAGACAGGATTCTTCCTGAAGATGAATCTGAGATATAACAGCAAAGAGGTTAATGGTTTAAATATTGGTATTAAAGTTAAAGTCCTTAGGCAGATACCAACCATAAGTGGCTGACAGTCTATAACTGTTCTGGAAGCAAAAGTTGGTGGGCTCGGCGGGGGTAAGAGCTGTAGAGAATTTAGACTTATCAGAGGCACGCCACCACTTAGTTGCCACCGTTGGTCTCCCAGAGGATATATTGGAGGACAGAAGTCCTCGCCTGCAAAAACAACAATGGGAGACAATAAAGTACAGTGAAGACATAATTCGCCAAATCAATGACTAAACAATAGCCAACTGACTACTCAACTTTTGGGAAAGTATTTCATACCAAAGTCAGGGACGTCAGTGATATCAGCAGCAGTAGTCAGCATCGATGGTTGTACTAAGGTGCATGGAGGACGTGAAAATGTATCTCTGCATTTTAATTGATAGAAATTAGCAATGGATTACTCAAATGACATAAATGAAAAACAAGTGAAAGAAAATAGCATTATCCTTAAATAGATATTTTTACAGAAACTATGTCCAACAAAAACGGTTCCCTACAAATTCTAATTCATATTGCTATCAACACGGGAACAATTTTCATAGAAAACTCTTTGCCATCAACAACTGATAACACTTGGGAGAAGTAGACTGCATGGAGTAAAGGACGTAAGAGATACATGCTCCATCTGGAATTGAAGGTCTGTATTTTAACTGCCACTGAATTTCTGGTGAGTATTTTACGCAACTTTCATCATAATTTGAAGTACATTTTCTTAATAAAAATGTCTAGTTTAAGAAAAAGGACATTAATCCCGGACATTGAAAAAGAATATGGGGACCTTCGAACCACGAAGGAGATAGCATCATACTTTTCAATCACAGGGTATGATAACCATGTTGCTTGATAATTCAATTGATGTTGCAAAAATAGAACTTTATGTTCTGGTAGGACTGACATAATAAATATAAATAAATTTTTTGAATTATGTAACTGTTTTGACTGGAAGCAATATGATTTGATGTGTTAGTCCAGATAAAGCTGTCATTCAGGCTACATTGGTCCCTCGACCCCTGTGATATTTTCAGTTTTATTCTTCGTCAAATCCCCAAGATGTAGAATGCATTGAGTTACAATTTATGATTCTAACTCCTATTTTAGTCTGGATTCTACTTTGCATGTCTTACTGATTTAAAAAAACAAAAATGCTGTCCAAAACACAGATAACCCCTCTTTAGTATCTCGCGATATATACCAACTTTTTGTCAGTTGTATCAAATCTATGAAGAGTATATTTCCACGTACCTCAAAAATAATCCTCCTATCATAACCCGAGTCAACAATTTGGCATCTTCTCCATCAGATACGCTTGCCTGCATGCAAAAAGATAGTATATGGTCCCGACTACCACAGGTAAAGTCAAAATAATTATGCATAGTTTCTTTCTAGTATCTTACCCGAGAAAAGAATAGTGATTGCATCAACAGTTCTAACTGGAACTCTGCAAGTCAAACAAAAATTTTAGGCCACAACTTGAAAAAAAAAAAGAATCTGGTTCACAAAAGGATATCATCCACACCATTCATTTTCGATGCATGAACAAGTGAGACTAGAAATGTCTGGCATTGGTGAGTCCAAATCAAGCATGGTGAAAAATCTAACCAAATAGCTCGTGAAAATAATAATTGAAAACTAGTGCAGAGCACCAACACAAAAAGTAGAAATCAAGGAAGAAAAGGAACATAGGCTACATGCAATAAAATAATAATTGAAAACTAGTGCAGGGCAATAGCACAAAAAGTAGAAATCAAGGAGGAAAAGGAACATAGGCTACATGCAATTCAAGACTCAAAAACTAACCAGCATCCTTTATGCAGAGAAATATGTGATCCACAATTATAGAGACTAAAGAACGTCCAGCTGCTTCTCTAGAATGCTGCAAGAAAGAGGCAATTCCAATTGATATATAATACAGCTAACTGGCAGAAATGGTTTAGTGAGTAGGTATACTGTCAAAAGCTACTATAATTCAGCTGTCAGTAGTAAAAATATGCTCAAAGAAGTGACATTGACAATGAATTCATACTTGTTGATCATTTGGATTAACATCTCCTCGATTTAAACAGACATACAATCCTGTGAAGAAGCGGAGAAGAGCCCGTAATCCTGCAGACATATTGGTAGCATATAACCAAGGATTTCAAACAAGAAATTATCCAAGAATACACCAAAAAGAACATTAAAATCTTGTACTTACCTGGTTCACTTAAAGCAGGACAAACAGCTTCTGGAATATGCAATTGCACTTCAAGCCCAAGTGGAGAATTTAGTTCTGTCCTTTGTAGTGTGATCTGAACATAACCATAGAAGTTCAGCCACTGTTATATAACTTTAAAAAACTCAGTCACTCGCACACATCTAGATGATATTTCCCAGACGACTAACAAAGTTAAAGCATTTCCTAGCAGGTCAGCTAGTCTCTCTCCAGTAAAATGAAAAGTTTCTTCAGAATCTACTCAGATGTTAAGTTGCATACATAAGCCTCTCCTGATATTCCTTCAAGGAATCGTTCTCCACCAAAGAATACTCGCTTTGCACCATCTTCATCTTTCCTATTAGACCCTTCCTGAGAGAATTCAAAATTGGCGTCCGAAAACATATCGGGATGAGGGAGGAGGTCAATAGACAAATGTTCCCACTCAAGTTTCTGTTAACCAAAAAATAGAAAGATATACTGTTATATACTGTAACAAACATAAAATGAAGGATTTTTCAACTCGAGAAAAATGGCATCAGTTAGATGGACAAACAAGAACGTGAACAGGCAATATATATAAAAACATACTAAAGGAATTCAGACAAAGGTTGGAAAAGAGGTAGACACATAACAGGGGTATGCACACACACACTTTTTTATTTAGTTTCTATCATATGTAGCATATACTGATATACAGATACAAATAAGCAAAAACTAACAAATAAAAATAAGAGGTAGATAGCATCATTACTTTGAAAACATATATGAACTTCTTGTCAATTGAAAAGTCCCTTGCTTCCTTGAGATCAACAACCTATTTCAGGAGACAGTTCTAGTAACATAAACATTCTGACAAAAATGCATCTGAAGAACAAAAAAAATGCAAGTTAGATTGTATAAAAGGTTGCAGAGCATAACCTCCCAGCTTTCATTTGTTGTATAGAGTAAAAGATTACGAATAGTGATGGATGCCATAGGAGATGCCCTGGTGGAAATGGAAATTATTAGAGAAAAAAACATAGGAAATAATAATAATAATAATAATAATAATAATAATAATAATAATAATAAAGGAAATGGAATGACTATTTCCACTCCGTTAGCTTATATAACGCCAAATTTAAATAAGCTAAAAAATGCATCCCTACATTTCACATTCTCAATCCTTTTTTCTGTATATGAAAATTTTGTATAGGTCCTTGCTGTCGAACTCTTATCTTCGCATAACTTTTTAACTAAGAAATAGAGGGACTTATCCACTTGATAATTAATTTTTTGTCTTTCATGTTGTTTGATTCTCAAATCTCTTCCCTAACTTGGTTCCTTGAATACGATGCTCACTTTAGATACCTCAAAGCTGATAATATTCTACATAATGCTTAATCACATCATCAACCATTCCTGTACAACTGAAATATAAGAAAGACATTCAGTACATCTATGGACCTAGCAACCCCGAACCAGAAACAAAAATCATAGTAGGTTTTGCATATTTAGCAGGTTTGTCAAAAGTCTTCAAATTGTTATACTAGGATATTTTCAACTGCGTTTTCCTTGAGCTTAACTGGCATTTAAACCTTCTTGGTCCACCACCATCTGTACCATTAAACCTAGCCACCTAATTCCACCTCATATAAAAACTAAAGAAGAGACTATTAAAAAATTTCAAAACATAAAAATGAGAGGATTTTGAGATGTACAAGTTAGCTAAATGGGTAATATAGGAATGCTAAGTTGACAAGCATGAGAAAATGCATAGAAATCTTGAAACTTGCATAAAATTGCACTATGGTTTTCCAATAGGGGTTCAGGTTGCAGAGAATTCCCGCTAAAATATTTAATTGAATGAAACTTTGTCTACAAGACTTGAGGACATCTAGAGAAGAAAAAAGTCTCTACCCAAAATGGAGGCCACACACAATGGCTCGAAGAAAATCCTAGGACTTCGAAAGCATGTTGGCATAGTCGGTTTTTCTGTCTTGTTCAGAATAACATGCAGAATATTTCTACAGGAACTCCTCAAACCAGAACTGGTGACTTCTTAAGCGTTGCTCCTATTAAAATAAATACAATTTTTTCTAAGACTCAAGACTCTATTAAAAACCAAGATTTCCTCTTTATGAATGGATTCTGAATTTGACAAATATAAGAGATGCTTGATGCGTCTATTAATAGGTATCAGGTTTTCTGTTGTCGCTGGATGCTATCTTAGCTATAAATGAAGCAAATGATATTTATTATAGGGGTTACCAATTTACTTCATTTGTTTTTTACAACAATGTATTGGATAACCACCAAAGAAGAGCTGCTTTCATTACTAAAAATTAGACTCAGGGAAGATGCTATAACATATCAGGATTCAGAATAAGAACTAGATATTAAGAGCTTGTTTGGGAAGGATTTTAATCCAATTAAAATTGAAAATATAGCCGTTATTGGGTCCCACTCGTCTAACAAAAGTCAAAAATAACGGCTAGTTTTTCAATTTTAATCCGATTTTAATCTATACCAAATAAGCTCTAAGCAACAGGTTGCTACCCACAAACAAATCAAAAATAAATGAAAAACAAAAGATGACAGGAAAAATACCAAGTTGCTCCTCCTCGGCCTCGAACACCACCATGAGTTTCAAGTAAAAGATTTACAGTGCGAACTTGTACAGTCATTCCATCTGCAATCTGATCAATAAGAAAGCTCAAAAGCAAGATTTTTGGAAACCTAAACCCGAATATTGCAACTAGCAGTAGTTGAAAATAAGTAAAAAACTTAAAAAGTTGAGGGGCACATCTGGAAATAGAAAAATAAGTAGTAGGCAATAAGTTAATATTGCTAGCCATGAAATTCAATCTGCAATTCCTAATAATCTGGAGTTACCTATGCAGTATGTGAAACAATACAGATCAATTACTGATATCATAACTCAAACTTCTATGCCGTAACAATAGATTATAGAGATTGACCTTGTCTGCAAATCCATACCCACTACCCTTTGCAGTGCTAGTAGACGATGAAGCGCTGCAAGCAGTAGAATAGAAAATGGACAAGTTAACTGCTGAAAATAAGAATCAATCTTCAACAAAAATAAGCTTGGAGAGCCTATTGAATGTACCTGCTCGAGCTCCTAGATGCATCTAGATCATCACTTTCCTCCAAAACTAAGTCGAGTCTGTCAATTTGCACCACAATTGGCTCCAGTTGTACGTTGCTCACTGAAGGAAGCTTTAAAATCAAATTAAAAAAATTACTAATTTAAAACCAGGGATACATAACCAAAATTATAATTCTATTCAACTGCTAAGAAGATTACAAACAATCTCCAGATCATCAGAATTCCAATTTTTGTTGCATTTTCCAGCTTTAAAGAAATCCAGAAATTCGATTGTTTGCTTAATTAAGTTGAGGAGTTACTGACAATAATCTCAAATTTTCCAACTTTCGCAGTGGTGACATTCAGCGCCGGCGGTAATCCAAGACTTGCATGTAATGCATCTCCATTTAAATCTACCAAAAAAATAAAAACAAACATCACCAAATAAATTCCGCTATCTATCTAAGAAGAATTATCATATTAAGCAAATGAAAGTAAAACTTACCTAAATTGGAAAGCAGTACCGTTCGCCCCTGCCATTTGAACTGATCTCTGCTGAATGATTTCAGCCAGTACTTTAGCGTATACTCTAAAGCTCGCGCCAAAATTGATTCCATCTTTATTACAATCGCTCAGATCTGCCGGCCACCAGGAATGAGAAGCGGTGCCGGAAAATCAAAATCAAACCGCTTAAACCTACGTCGGAGATTGCTGTGTCGGTGTTTAGGGGAATGTTATAAACAGATCGAATTTTTAAGCGATAAACATTCCGAGTGAAAGAAAAGAGAGAGATTCGATTGGCACGTGCGAGTGGGGTTCAGATATGCGTGGAACGTACGAGAAACAGAACGTCGCCCGGTGTATGTGACTTTAGGTGTACCATGATCTGATTAGAAATTGAAGAATTTGTCGGTCAGTTATTGGAGGGTATTTATTAGATGGTGTGAATGCGGAGCAGAGGATTCCAGCCCATATATTGGATCTCGGGATGCTGTACTTCAGTAACTGGCGGGTCGAAATGTCCGAAGAGTTTTTTGTCGGGTTTTTAATCAGTGATTTAGGAAACTTTAAGAATCTTTAAATTCCTTTTTTGACATCTCACTTTTTTATTATTTCCATTTTGCCACTCCATTAATTTAGCTAAAGTTTTTAAAATTGTTTAATAATTTTGAATAAAGTAGTAAATTGCTTCAAGAAGATGATACTCTCTTTGGAAGCAATTATAATCCCACCTTGTAAGTATACACTTTGTTGGAAAAAACAGTGTTGGTAGGCTGGTTTTTGCACTAATTTTAAGCAGGTCCCGATTGACTATTTTGAAATATGAAAATTGATTTGTATTCTCCCCCGTGAGTACATCGAAATCATATGCTTACTTTTCAAAAATGGTGCTCGAGTGAATGAGAAATTGAAACTCAAAGTATGCTATGTGAAAGGAAAAAAGTTAAGATTTGTCCCACATAGGAAGTGGATAAAAACTAAAATCACTTTATAAAGGATTACACTTTAGAGTGGTGTAATCATGTGTAGCATAGAGGCTCTCCACGTGCGCGCGCAGGAGGTGCAAATCTTGGACCGAAATAGGTTTCGAACCTTGAATTTGTGTACGGGTGCGACCTGCGTACACGAATGTCGAACCGAAAGGAGCAAAATTGGTCACCTAGGAGTGTCTACATTTTGCTACATTTTTGTTAATTTCAACGAACTTTTGATTTTCCAAAACTCCTAAAACTCCTGTGTTAATTGTCATTTGTTAATGGACAAGTTACAAGAGTTAGCCTTTTTATATGTCTCATTATTCCACTGTCCTATACACGAAAAATTCATCTGCATATTCATCTGCACACAGTTCCTATTTCTCTGCATTTTTCGTTCATGTTTGAGTTGGTGGTGATATATTTCAGACACAAAGTCAGTTCATCGGAGTAGAGTCTGCTGTGTTCGGATTTTACTGGTTCCTCCGTTGTATCTTGGGAAGCAGACGCTCGTACTATCCTCAAGCACGTACGGTGAGGGGGCGAATCTGTTTTAAGGAAACTGTGTTTGACACAGGCCTCGGGTTAAAAGTGTTATACTGTTTTAATTGTTCTTACTCGATTTGCATATATATTTTTTGTAATTATTTAAATCACTTGTTATTTTTGTTACAATCAACAAATCGTTAGATTTGTTATATGTACAGTTTATTATACGGTATCCAGTCTGTAAATCTAATATTCGATATTGAAACAATTATCCTACACACTTGTCTTTAGGGTGTATTTGATGGATATTATTGAGAAAAGAATATATTTTAAATAATAATATGAAGGGAAATATGTGGTTAAAACGTAAGGAAATGTTATTAATGTGATGAAAAATATTATATTATTAAAAAATGTATGATTGAAAATAAGTTTTTAAAGAATATATTTTGAAATAAGAATTATGCAAGATGTACACTCGGTGGTTTACATAATGTATTACACCCCCTTCACATAGAGGGGGACCCACGAATATTTTATTGTGTATAGGCCCCCTCCATGTGAGGGGTGTAATCCATTGTGTACTCATTGTGTACATTTAGTATAACTGTTTAAAATAATGTGTACCAAACATGGGCTCAAATTTAAATCACACCTTATTAGGGATGTTAAAATGGTTCGTCGGCTCAGGCTGCCCGTAGCTCGACCCGGGAAAAGTCCAAGTCGAGCCTGCTCGTGGCTCGGAACCATAGAGTCAAGGCTCAGGTCAAGCCTCATTGTGGGGCAAAGGATCGAGCTCGAGCTGGCCTGTGTCACAGGCAATTTCGATTCGAACAAGCCGAGCCAACTCAGCCAAATTTTAAAAAAAAAGTCAAAAAAAAATAATTCAGCCTGCAAAATGCAGGCAACCGTGAATATAAAAAATAAAAAAATAAAAAAAAAATTGGCTGAGCCGAAAAATCAGGTCGAGGCTAAAATTTTTGGCCAAACAAAAGCTCGACTCGGCTCGAGCAAAAAAAGCTCGAACCATTTTTACTCTAGCCTAGAGTTTCGACTCGAGACTCAGCTCGACTCAACTCGTTGACACCCCTACACCTTATTGTGTTTGAATGTAAATATTATTAAATAATAGTCAAAACATTTAATCTTCTTGATTTTGTAATTTAGAAGAAACTAATGATATTTTTCGAGAACTTGGTGTTTTATTTGATTGAAAAGAAATAAAGAAATGGGTTGATGAAAATAACCCGCTTAACTTTATTTCTACTAAGGGTGTCCAAAAGTCTCGAACAGAATCGGACCGAACCGAACCCGAACCGAATCGAGCGGTTCTTCATAAATTAAATACCCGAACGGGTACTCGAATCGAGAACCGATGGGTTTGGGTCGGGTCTCGGGTCTAGACCAAGAACCGAAGAACCGAATAAGAACCGAAACTAAATAATTTTTTTATTTTTTATATTGATTTTCTATACAAATTATCAAATTAATTGAATAAATTAGATTATTTCATAATTTTAATTTTAAAGTCCAAATCATTTTAAAATCCATTAGCCTATTTTAATTTGAAGCAAATGAATGTACTTTATGTAGTTTTGCTGTAATATTAATATCTACTCTTTGGTATTTGTATGTATTGAATTAATTTTATTGGACGGCTGTTTTGTATATGTTTTTGAATTGGGCTACGTTAATTTGTAAAAGTTACGAATGAAATGTCATTAATTGTATTTATGTAGTGTTGCTAAAAATATTAAAAAATTTAATTATGGTACGGAACCGAACCGAACCGAACTGAACCAACCCGACCCGAACCGAACGGAACCGAACCCGAACGATTCCATAATTATATTTAGACCCGACGGGTCCATTTATTAAATACCCGAAAGTTTTGAGTCGGTTCGGGTCTCTTCAGAACCGAACCGAATCGACCCACGGACAGCCCTAATTTCTACTTTAAAATGTCTTTAACTCTTAATCAAGAGCTAGTTAAAAAGCTTCAAATTGCATGCATTGGTTAAATAAAAGGCTTCAAATTGCATGCAGAAGCAAGCGAAGCACTCGCATCATTCCCTTTAATTCATATTCACAAATGAATTAGAAAAGTCAGCAAAAATACTGTATATTCAATTCTTGAGTCGGTGCTATTGTTGCCTACGTTTAGGGACGCCAACGAATCAAGCCCATGTTTAGTTAGAGTTTTTTTTATAATAATTTTTTAAAAAAATTGTTGTTCGGAGAATCCGTGGTTAGAAAGTAGGAAAAATTATGAGTGGAATTATTTTATTGAGAAGTAATTTATCAATACATTGGATGATGTTAAAATTGGACACTTCCTATCAAATGTCAAAAAAATCGAAAATGTATACATCGACTTTTATGCTTCCAGAAGGAATGGTGAATGATTAATGTAAGTGTAGTTTCTACACTTATTCGAAACCCTAAATCATGATATTTTATTGTCCTTTGGATAAAATTCTACCTAATTTATATTATATTATATTTTGTAGGTAAAACTTTATATTTAATGAAAAATTTAAGAAAATAAGTAAAAGTAACGAAAAATGGCAAAATCCAAAATTGAAACTTTGGAGGGAAATAGTAAATTAAATGGGTTGGAATAGACTTGCATTGAAAATTTTAATTGGAGACCCAAATTAAATATATCTATATATACATATATATATACACACACATAGAGGGGAGAGAAGAAAAAATTGAGGCGGCATTTGGAGAAAAAGAAAATAAAGGAGGAAGAAAATAACAAGTCTAGAAAAAAAGGAGAAAAAAGAAAGAGGGGAGAGAAGAAAGAAAATGCAGCCAGAGAAAGAAAAGAAAAGAGAAATAAAGAAATAAAGAAAAGGGAAAGGAGACTGCAAGCACAAAAAATTTCGTTAATTTTTGGTGATGTCGTTTCACTTTTGAGGGTTTTTATTTTTATAGTATGAATAACTAATTTTTATATTAGGGAAAATAATGTAGTCGGCTTGTAATCCTTTATTTTTTATATTCAAAATTTCTGTGATTTATTCTTATATGGGTTAGTTTTTTTATAAGTTTAATGTATTAAATTACCTGATCAATAATTTGATTATTATGCGAGTCTCTTATGAATCGAGAAGTGAGTTTGAGATTTAGACCATATAGTAAAATCGAATAAATTAGTACAACGTGTAGAGATACATATACTAGTTATTGCGGTCATAATATAAATTCTTATAACTAGTTTTTGTTTAACTAAAATTGATTTACATAGAGATATGAAATTTAGTTAGTTAAATAGATACAATGAGAACTCGAGATGGATAAATTTAATACAATAGAAAAATTCGATCGAACACCACATTAGATTATGAATCTTGAATTAAGAATTAATGTGATCAATAGATGAAATTATTATACCCTAATATTCATCACATATTTGACAAGTGGCCGCAAGAATAGCGGCGCTTCCGGATCAACAGCAGGAGCGAGTGAAAATAAATTAAGGAGACTTGTCAGCCTTAATGTTTTTGACGCCCATAGTTGCGTCTGCACATTCCAGTATTGTGTATCTAGATTTCGGGGTAAATAATTTTCAGATAAGAATGGAATGGATCAATTTGATGAGCAACATTCTCCAATTCTACGGGCTACCTCATGAAAATCCAAAC